AGTTGAGTTTACAGCCAATAAGTAGGCCTTAAGGGGTAGGGCCAGGGCTCCCCCTGGTGCTGTAGCACCGGCTGGGGAAGCTTTCTTTTGTTTGAAAAGCCGGAGACGTGCACCGAATTGGCATTCTCTAAACCCTAAACCCTAAACCCTAAACCCTAAACCCTAAACCTTAAACTCTAAACCCTAAACTGTACTCCGACGCCTAAACCCGGAATCCTGCCTGAAACGATCGCCGAGAGCTTGAACTCCCTAGTACTCCGAGCTTCCTGCCCGGAGTGCACCCATAAAGATTGCCGGGGACGGTCCGAAGATGGTTCATAGGTGGTTGTCGAAATTATGGTCCCTTTTTAAGTCCTTATTATAATACGGCACCTATTATTTAGGGTACCCCAAAAGGGACCCTAATTTTGACAACTACCCTCATGCAAGACAAGCTTTTAGGGGAATTCGGGGTTTAGGGTTTCGGGGTGCCTAGGGTTTAGGGTTCGGGGTTCAGGGTTCAGGGTTCAGGGTTCAGGGTTCAGGATTCAGGGTTTAGGGTTCAGGGTTTAGGGTTTAGGGTTTAGGGTTTATATAGGGGTGCCTCATGATAGTCATGGTTACTCCTTCTACCCTCCTGCGGCTACTGCTGCGACTACCATTGCGATGACGATGGCCTTGACTACGAAGAAGAATTACGTTGGCCACAGCATTCTTACTCATGATGTCAAGCCTGGTTGTTGCTGAAACCCGAAACCCTACACCCTAAACCCCTAAACTCTAAACCCTAAACCTGGGCTTGCTTCTGCACTTTACCCATATTCTTGGAAGGACCTAGAAAGTAGAATCCCTAACTCGGGGCCCTATACTACGAAAGGGTACTTTATAGGAACCCCCCCATTAAGGGATCTACTTTCTGGATCTTTTCTGGGGGGTCTGGGTAACCCAAAGCCCTAAACCTAAACCCCGAACCCTAAGTAGACCTACTCAGAAAACCCCAACCCTAAACCCCACGATTCTAAAAAGAGGTGCCCCAATAGTCGGGCTAGGTTGCTGTGGTAGACCAGTAAGTTTTAAGCGGAAACTCTACGGTGCGGAATAGCAGTACTGCTTATTCAGGCTTCTATGTTAGCAAGGAGCCCGGTTTTTCTCAAGGTATACTCTGGAACTTCTGCTTTCAGGCCGCCATATTTCCAATATCCATTAAATCATGCGAGCTTACAGAACCGTGAACAAATACCAGAACGTAAAGAGTCTGCAGTTTGGTGTTGGGAAACTAAGTAGGAAACCCTTCAGCAGCCCAAAGCCGTGACTACTGCACTTACAAAGTCCCTGAGACAGCCCTTCCAGGAGTTGTTTCTTGGGTCCGGGATTCAACTGAAACCTAAAATCTTTAAACCCGCAAAACAAAGAAGAGAGTCCTATAGTCCCTAAAAACTCTTGTAGAACCACTAAGAACGACCCTAAAAGAACCCCATAACCCTAGGGTTCTGAATCTCCGCATCTGGTGGCGGGATCTTGAATTCACCCTCCCTCCTGTGGAGTGCGAAGGTTATGGCCGGTCGGCCGAGAGGAACTCCCTGCAGCCCTAAGCCGGTCTAGGGTTTAGGGTTTAGGGGTTTAGGGTTTAGCGCTTTGGGGGTTTGGGGGTTTAGGGTTGAGGGGTTTAGGGGTTTAGGGGTTCAGGGGGTTTAGGGGTTTAGGGTTTAGGGTTTAGAGAATTAAAAATTTAGGGGCTTCGCGGTTTAGGGCTTTAGGGGTTAAGGCTTTTAGGGTTACCTGGAGCCCGAATAACCTGCCGCTTTAAGGACTTATACAAGGAAGTCATACTAGGGAACCCTACAAAGGGAAGGCTTTGTAGGGAAACCCTAGGCTGAACCCTGAGCTGCCCTAGACCCTATGAACCTTGAACTACCCCAAGCCCCTGTAAGCCCAAAATAGGTTTGAGGGTTTTGGTTTTGGGGCTTGCGAGCTTTTGGAGTTTTCCGGGCTTCTAGGTTTCTGCTTCAGGGCTTGAGGTTCTGGATTTCGGGGTGTAGGGTTTATATATGGTTCTGTGGCTTAGGGCTTTAGGGCTTAAGGTTTGGGGCGCAAGCTCTCTCTTGCTAGCGTGTTCTGCTGCTCCATCTCCGGGATTCTTGAGGCTCAGGGCTGAGGGAGCTCAGCGAGGAAGGGGCCCAGAGCGCTGTACCCAGTAGTAGTAGGTGTCCATTGGACGGTAAAACGGCGAAGCATTAAAAGTCGCAGTCTGGGTTGGGGCGATGAGGTGCTCGGGCACGGACTCCAGGAGCAAGGATCGAATCTCTGGATACCTGCGGCTCTGCGCTCGCGTAACAAAGGGCTGTTGATGGTTTTGACAAAGGGCTGGGGGTATGCTGTAGCATAGCCATGTGGGGACTCCAAATGGAGGATTGTTGCAGCTTCTTCTTCTGGAGCTAATCGAAAGCAAGGAAACCCCAATGTTGCATGCGAAAACAATCATGAGCTAGGCCCTTTGAGCAAAGGATGGAGGGCTGTCGTTGCCAACTTCATGGATTCAGCGATCCAGTTGGAGCCTAGGTTCATGCTTCAGACAGCCCACATGCAAGATCTCGCTGGACGGAAGCCACAAAACCCACAACAAACCGACATAGATTACCGTCTACAAGATCCATTTCACAGGCAGCCAGCACAAGAAGCAAGACATCGCCAACCCCATACCTTATGCAGGGTTCAGGGTCTCTAGAGAGGCTATAGTTAATGTTTTACCCCTAATCTAGCCGTTGATCTTGAAGGAACGAACCCCCAAAAAGGAACTGGTAAAGCCAAAAACCCCTCCGAGCCGAGATGCGCATCCGGTTGCAAACAGAAGTAGGCCAGCTGGGATGCGGTAAAGCCATCCTTGCTGGGCCTGCACAATCCCTCAAACCCTAAACCCGAAACCCTAAACCCTCAAACCCTACACCCCAAACCCTGAACCCTACTCCCCAAACCCTAAACCCTAAACCCTACTCCCCAAACCATAAATCCAAAGCCCTACATCGGTTTCGAGCTTCAGGGTGGGCATGGCGGCCTGGGGTTTCAGAGCTTAGGGTTGACTTCTTCAGGGCTTTGTGTGTTTCGTGGCCTGGGGCGTGGCGACCTTGGGTTTTAAGTTTAGGTTTTAGGGGTTTGGGTTTACGGTTTTGGGGTTTGGGTTTAAGGTTTAGGGTTTGGGTTTAGGGTTTTGGGGTTTGGGTTTAGGGGTTTGGGTTTAGGGTTTAGGGGTTTGGGTTTAGGGTTTAAGCGTTTGGGTTCAGGGTTTTGGGGTTTGGGTTTAGGGTTTTGGGGTTTGGGTTCAGGGTTTAGGGTTTATCTGGCTCCTGTGATGATGAGGGTTGGTTAAGGATCTCTCCCACAGGCAACAGGTAGGAGGCAGCAACAAAGAAACACCACAACATAACTGCAACAGCAGCTTCAACAGCGGAATCGCCGCTCTCTTTAACCTGCAGCCCTTGACTGCTCTATGAGGGTTTAGAGTTTAGGGTTTAGGGTTCTAAGCCCTAAAGCACTATCAAGCCTGCCGCGCCTGTGCTTGTCTGCCCCAAGTTTCAGCAGAGCCCGGGCAGACTCCACTTGGTTTTCCTGGGTCGCTATGCGAAGTGCCGTCCAGCCACCGTCTGCCGTATCGATGTCCTCGGCTGATCAGGGCTTCCGTTTGGGGTTTACAACATGGTTGAAAGAACCAACGAAAGTAAAAGACATCGTTTTGATGTTGCACTCTAAACCCTAAACACGAAACTCCTGCACCCTAAAGTCTGAACCCCTAAACCGCTAGACCCCCAAGGCCCTAGACCGCGGTCCCCGCTCCACCGGTGAGATTTCCATCCTCTGCTTCACCCTACTCCCTAAGCCCTAAGCCCTA